ACATTTATGGGAAAGAGCATAGGATTTGGTCATATTGGTCAATAAATTTGAAAGTTTATAACTATGTTAATATTAATTAAATAAAAATTAAATTACCTAAAAAATCATTTCAAAGATTGCTCTTAAAACATTTTTTAGATCAGAGCCTGTCTGCAATATATTCAGGGGTAGTTCAAATAATTATGACTTCTTAAAAGGTTATGTTATGGTTTTGACAATTAATGATTCTTGAAAGTAACAATAATTATTTCTTATTGACTATTGTTACTTTGTGCAGCGAGCGCGATGGCCGATGTTTGGTTCTCGAGTTATTTTTTAAAAAGGGGGAGTGTTTAATTATTATGTTACCTATATCAAATTTACCCAGTTTTGATTCAAGAAAGAATTACAATCTAACTATAAACTCCAAGGTTCCTGCTTTTCTGAGCAGAACAAAACACGAGACATTCTCGTCTCTAATATAAACAATAGTTAACTAATTTCTTCTTACAGGTTACTTTAATCAGCTGTTTATCTGTTTACCATGTTTAAACTGGTCCGCCATTCCATCGTAGTGTAGGAGGCTCAGTGGGCAGCGATAAATAAACACAACAGGGGTCCAGTTTATTTACGGGTAACGTCTGTAAACCAAGAACAATATAAAACATTGTCGACAGTCCCTCAATTCTGTATACTTTTCTTATCTTCATACTAAAGAGCTCCAAAAGTAGGCGTGCATAGTTGCACTGGGCGTGTCTAAAATCCGACCCTCGGTAGTTAACGTCTCTCGCTGGTTAACTTTAAGTGCCGATGACATTTTATAGACCGATGTAACAAATTTTTAATTGACTGCATCTCGTGAAGTATAAATGTTCCTGTTTCAGTTTCCAAATAGTGTGCATACCTGCATAACTGTTTTTAAAGTCTGCATTTGGGGATATTTAGCGAAATAGGTGAAAACATTCAAAAAACGAATGGTAAATGCAATATTTTTTCAGAGTAGGCCGGGTAAGTGAGGTCTAGGTTGGTTCCCTCCGTAAAATATCCAGTATGCCTTCGGAATATACAAATATTGTCAAGAATTTCAATAACGGCCGGGTACCAGTCTAAGTGAGGTCAGAGTCGTGTATTGTTTGGTACTTTATAATTCAATAGATATAAGAAGATGCCTCAAAAAATAGAAATAATGAAAACAAGTATTCTTTTATGAAACATCCACCCACAGATCTGTCAAGTCCTTTTATTTTAAAATACTAATAAAAGCATTGCCAAAATAAATAACAATGCCACTGGAAGTATAAATTTGTGACATTTTTCTGTAATGATCAGCTTGCCGGAATCTCGCCTTATCATTGGGATTTTATTTTGACCTACATATAAATACCGTTCTTGGACTTCAATTCAGTTTTAACAGATATAAGAAGATGTGGTATGAGTGCCAACGAGACAATTCTCTCATCAATTTGTAAAAGTAAACCATTATAGGTCGAAGTACGGTCTTCAACACGGAGCCTTGGCTCACACCAATTTCATATCTCCGATACTTATTGTCTAATTGACCTTAAATTCCATAACGCTTTGTAAGGATGCATTTTCAGATGTATAACATTGTCAAGCTTTTCGAGCTTTTTTGTTACTTTATAATATAAAGTCGAAGAATAGAATCTAAATATGTTCAGTATTGATATTCAAAAATGAACACTTACGGTCCTACATCTTGCCGATACTTATATTTGGCATTACACAAGGTCATTTGTACTGATTGATTTCTTAGCCCAGTAAAACATGATTTATTTATGAGTTGTTATTGGCTTTGAACTAGCTTTCAGTATCTGCGAGTATCTGAGATCGCCATGTTGTGTCTGTCTTTTTGTAGTCGTTTTTTTTTGTATCTTTTTGAAGAGTCCATGCCTTTTAAACTGATTTTTACAGTTTGTCCTCATGTTGTACATTTACACCTCTATCTCACGTTAAAGGATTCAGCGCTTGCGAAGATTTTAAACCCCGGCAGGTTCTGTATGTGCTTGTACCAAGCTACCCACCTATACATTTTGTAATTCGATGGTTGTTGTTGGTTGCTGTCTGTTATGTTGGTTTTTTTTGTGTATCGTTTTAGTATGAAAAAGGCCATTACTTTTCACATTTTTGCCTTGTCGTTACCTTTAATAGCTTACTATACGGTTCATTTATTTGTTTTGATCATTGTTGAAGACCGGACAATGGCCTCTGGCGGAGAGTTGTCTCGTTGGCATTTTTATACTTATCACTTAAACGTATAATTGACCAATGAACAATGAAAATGATATAAAGGTCAAATGGACCCTGCCGGATGGACATATTCACTTTACCATTTCAGAGAAACAGACCTAAGAACGAAAACTTAATGTTGATTACTGATTTTAGAGATAATAAAAAAAAAAGGATATGAGGTATCCATCCATGACACAAATTCAGTACGGAACAGCGCTTTTATTGCTGTTCCTCGTCTCAAAGTCACATTGAGGCCTTCTACACGGAGCAAAAACAAAACAAAACCCTCGAAAAATGAAATAAGGAAAACAAACTCTCACCTCACTGCAAGTTTAAGATGGCCTAAGGTCCTGTCAGTCATAAAACTTAACCCCGTACTCGGAGAACAAAATTTGTGCTCGAAACAACAAATTCAGTTTACTGATTGATTGATTGATTTCTGAATCTGAGTATGACATTTCAACTCATTTTTTTCCACCGGAAGTGAAGATCACGTAAAGCCTGTCTGGGGTTGAATATGCATTGATATTGTACCTTGCAACGAATTTATGTACAAAAGTACATGTCTTATTTAGTCAAAGTAACTTAAAAATAACCCAATACATAGTGTGTTTGTGTGTGTGTGTGTGTGTGTGTGTTTATGTAGTCGCTGAACCATGCATACATTTAAGATATGAAGAATCAATTTCTTCTATTATAAGCACGTGTAATGTAAGCACATAACATTTAGGAGCGTGAAGAATGAGTGATAGACCCGTAGTCAGCATAATGTGTCCAGGTATAGGGTGACATGTTTTACAAAGACCGATACTATATAAATTTTGTATCACCACGAGAAAACTAACGGCCTTATTTATGTATAAAAAATGAACGAAAAACAAATATGTAACACATCAACAAACGACAACCACTGAATTACAGGCTCCTGACTTGGGACAAGCACATACATACAGAATGTGGCGGGGTTAAACATGTTAGTTTCATGTTCCTATTGAAATTAATAAAGCGACATGCCAGACATTTTTAAGAAGGTGAAGCATTTTTTTTATCCTTGCATGTTCCTATGTTCCTAGAAACACCAATATCTAAATAGAACTCTTCGTTTCGTTTTGACTTGAAAATATGCCATTTAAATTGATCGAATATGCCCCCTTTTCTCTCTTATATTTGTTCGTTCTAAGACACAAGGTCACACATAAAAAAATAGAGGAACTAGTCCCGAAAACTGTCTCAAATAAAGGGAAAAGGGTAGGAGTGTGGGTCATAGAAACATTAAACATGTAAATTGTGTTTTGAATATGCATTAAATATTTGTCACTGGACGTCAGATAAACAATGAATTAATACACAAAATGCGCAAATTTGGGTTACGCAATCTTTTAATTTATCACTATTATGATAAAATCATACTATTGGTAAAGAAATTCACAATGTGTTATCTCAAATTGATAATCTGTTATATCAAATAAATAATTTGTTTTATCAAATTGATAATCTGTTATATCAAATTAATAATTTGTTATATCAAATTGGAAAAAGTAAATTAACATGGCCTTAAAAGGCTTCCGTATGTTTTGAAGAAATTTATAGCTGACTATGCGGTATGGGCTTTGCTCATTGTTGAAGGCCGTACGGTGACCTATAGTTGTTAATGTCTGTGTCATTTGGTCTCTTGTGGAGAGTTGTCTCATTGTCAATCATACCACATCTTCTTTTTTTATATATATTTCATTTCGATGATAAAACAGCGCTTAAAAATCACAGTATTTGATTTTTTTACAGTTTAAATTTTGTACGTGCTCTTTTCAATTATTTTACACAAATATCACATGATTTGGTAATTCATAAAAGTTTACCCCAAATGGAGTCTTTAGCACACATCATGCTTTCTCTTTTTTTGATAGGATACTGGTGCAGATGTAGGGTATCTTGAACTTGCTATAAAGAATAAGAATAAGAATTTTCCAATTTTTGGAACCTTACAAGACAGCAGCGATACATAAATTTTTTTTTATATTTCTGAGTTTTCCTAGCCTTTTCATCACGTCTACTCAAGCATCTTCGTATGTTGTTATCTTGTTCAATGGTCTAAATTTTCTTTAGAACTACAACAGACAAAACTAGAGATACTGCAATCAAACCCCTTATGTTCATATATGATTTTGATATTGTTCGTGTTGAAGGCCGTACTTTTTATAAATTGTAACGTGGTTGGCACTCATACCACATCTTCTTACAAGTCTCTATATTGAAGTATTGATCTAAATATTCTAGACCTGACAGACAGGCATTCCATCTTAATGCAAAAAAAAACTGCCTGGTATTCGGGACAGCAATATTGTGTAAAATCTTTCAGGGCATTCAATAGTTGTACTTAAGACTTCTTATATTTGAAACTATATGTGTGACTTTTATCTTCCAGACGGACATTCTAACCTTATTCGAGACATACGTTCTGAGCCAGACATGACTTTGTATATTTAGAAAATGGGAATGTAAATTTGAACTTAGTTTGTAACCTTGACCTTGCAGAAAGACATTCCAAACTTACTAGAACACACCTTCCAGTAGTAGGCAACAAGAATACCAAGTATCATCAATATCCTTAAAGGCAATCGAAAGTTCTGAACCGAACACAACTTGCACAGTGACACTGACAGGCAGACATCCAGACAGATTGATAACTATATGCAACCGAACGCTAAGCAGATTTGTTCTCTTTCTAAAAACTCTAAAATAAATTGTATTCACATATTTGTATATGAGAGGTATTGATTTAGGAAAATTTATTTAAAAAAAATCGCTGATAAAGTGCAATGTGGTCACAATTGTTTTGAAAAAAAAATAAAAATCAAATAAAACATTTTTAGTCAAACTTTCAGAGCTATTGTCTGAGATAATCAAAATAGCCGAATTAACAACATATACATTTACTTGCAATTATCATACCTATTCATAATCATCATGCTTAATCTGGCTGCACTTTCATCAATTATCACAAATTTCAAAACATATTTAACATAAAAATCAACTTACTACAATCAAAAGTTAACAGTAATTATTTTTTTTTTAAGTTAAATAAAAAAAGTACTGAATCAAATAATAAAAGACGAAAATCAAACTTCTTGTATTTCACTTAAATGAAAAAATATACAGAAATAAATGATGAATCAATTTTCCGTTGATCTATGCCCTGTTACCGTGCTCTCTAAATAAGTGGAACATATTCAACATTTTACCAATACTAACTACATGTTATAACTAAATACACTTAAACTTAATATACGATAACACTTTAGCTGACACTGTTGTAAGATCCTAATAGAGATTTACAATAACTGGGCTGTAGTATTTTTGAAATTTTGGTTCACAAATCAAATGATAGGATATTCAATGTGCGTATTCCTACAAAGTTCAATGTCGATACAATTTTAAAAGAGAAAGTTCAAACTAAACAGACATCGATGAAAACGAGGTTTTTGCCAAAGTGATGAAAAAAACTAATCCGATACTTATAGAGAAAATATAAAAAGAGCAATAAACTATTAAAACAAGAATGATCACTCAAATTATTAACGAGATGGAAATAAATGTGAATGCACGACTCGACATGCGTCAGTTAATAACACAAAGTAGCAGAATAGGTACAAAGGTATTTTTTCGAAATTTGAAAAAAAGTGTTATATACGCGACCTTTGTTAGACCCTTTGTCAATTCCTCGTTCTCTTAACAAAAACGTAAACTATAATTAACTACAACACATACTGTGTTACGAAGCAAAGGATGGATGCTTACATATGATTTAAATGGAATTAATTTCAATGATTCTCCTTAAAAAATACATTATTTAAACTGTTCTATACTACCAGAATACATAATTTTCGATGTCTTATTCTTATTCGGAATTGGGTTCGAGTCATACACTTGATTGTAAATCTCTAATAAGTTATCAACTGTAGGAGCTTATATTCATGTAGAATTAGTAAATACAAAACATATAATCATTTGATTGTGTAAAAAATATAAAAAATATACACAATTTATGATTAACTTTAAAAAACAAATTTTTTGGAATATCAATAAAGAATGATCAAGTATATTTTAGGCATCAATATCAATACCTCATATTAAGATATTATTATATCAATATTCATTGTATCTATTTTAACATTGGTTTGTCTCAAGATAATTATTTATATCCCTAAAATAAATCAATGATCTAACATGCTAAATATATACGCTACAAATAGTTTGCCTTTACTGTCCAGTGGCAAATATCTCACATTAAGGTCGACCACACCATGGCCATGTTTTTATAATATAAAGAATTGAATTTGATACTTTCAATGTGTCAAACAATCTAAACATTTTTGCTTCTTTTCCTCTAAGAGTTTATCAATTTTTTTTAAGATTATAAGTAGTGTATTTTGAGATGATAAATTAATTTGGCACCACTACTGATCCAAGTATTTTGCTACTTATTCACAGTTCAGATTTACTATCATCATTCAATTTCCAATGTGTGAAAACAAAATTATACAGCTTCATGATACATTGTAGGCCTATACACATATAAATTATAAACATTAAAAAACAAAAACAAAAACAAAAACAACATAATATATAATTATGAAACAAGAAAATGAGCTAACTAACAAAAAAAAAATGTTCATTGTACTGCACGGAAGTCAAACAAAAATATCGAATAAAAAATGTATATGGAGTTGTTGAAAATTGTTCGATGATACCAACATGAAAACAATCTAAAACGAATATGGCTGGTGACACTAGGTCAATTTAAAATAAAAAACTACCTCTACATTGAATAATCAGACATGCACAGAAGGTTTTTAATTTTTTAAAGGATATGGTGAACATTCTAGATTGAAGGTGCCATCATTGCTGTATCTATTCAGCATTTCATTATCAATATAGTTTCTAAATCATTCAACAAGGGTATTTGACGAATTTAAGATTATTTCATATTCAAATAGGTATATTGACAGAAAGACTATTGGGAAAACACATGACGTAATTTTGAGTATTATCACTTATAATCTTTTGAATAAGTAAAGATTTTAAATAAATTATAGGTAAAGAAATAAAGGTATAAGAATATGTAGTATGAAATATGAAAAAAATGAAACGAAGTCGATTGATTTTTGAAAAAAATAAGTATTTATGTTAATTTCTGATAAATTGACATGTTACATCTCAATATGCAGTAAGATTTTTAATGTTTTGTTCCAGCTTTCGAACGACCCTAATCTTTCATTCACACGAAAAAAAAAAAACCACCAATGAAAACTACTTAATTTAAGTATTAATATGTACATTAATTAAAAAAAAGATAATTACATTTTTGACCTAATGTCTGAAAGAATAATGTACTGATACACATACAGTCAGTGTATATACAATAACATTACATGTGGTTTATAAGCTAGAAATTTACAAAAAAGAAATATACATATGCATAATAATTTTGTACGGCATTAAAACTAAAAAATATATATACATCTGAAAATATAGTCATAATGTTATATGATTGAATAAAGTAAACATTCACAGATTTGGACTACTTTTTTTCAGAACATTATTCTCATTAATTATCTTATAAATTAGTAGAATAAAGTTAATTAAATATATATTTAATATAGTCAACACATCATTTCCTTATAATTCTTACATGTAAAAGAATCCATATTTTTTTTTTCACAAAGTTTTCTTTTCATTTTGATCAGTATGCAACATAGGGTTCCCAATGGACTGTTCCCTCAAATCTTGCTTTTTTAAGTTTTCATCATTTTCATCGCTGCTTTGCTTCTTGTTCGTTTTGGCAATTCGGTTTGTTTAGCAGTCTTATATGAAGAGTTAATACCTGATATACGTGCTGCTTTTTGTTTAGAGTCCTGAAATACAGATTAGAAAAAGAAGTTTAGAATTTGGAAAAAAAAAGTAAGCGTACATATAGAGGTACTGACTGATTGATCCATATCTATTTACATCAATATACCTAGCTCTATAAGGTCATTATATCACCTAACAAGGAAATCAATGTGAAGAAAAGTACTAAAAACATCTAACACTTATAATTCGTTTTTTTTTTATATATTTCTTATTGTGTAGGTCTGACTCTACGTGCACTACTCTTTTGATTTTTGATAAACAGAGATATTTCGCACCCAGCTTTTACGGTAAAATTGTTGATTAAGCTTAAAAAATTTCTATCTAATCTATCTCATTGACTGATCAGAATTATTGATAAAGGTTATGACAATACTATTGTTGAGCAATCACTTCGTCTTATATTTTGGTGGATAAATTCAATTCCCCAGTATTGAATATTATCGTGATTCCCTGCGGCTAAATAATTCGCTCAGTCGCTCAGTAATTTTTGAATAACGGCTTAAGAACGCGAGGAGAAGTTATCCGAGACATCAGCTTGCTTTCAGTAACTGCGAATATTCTTTGATGCTTATAAAATTTGTTATCTATTTTGTATTTTAGTTATCTATTATCAAACGCTTTCACCTTACTGTATATACCCGTTAACTATATATCTATACAAAGATCTTAGAATTCAAAAACCGGAACTTCAGTTGCAGACATTCCGTTATGGGTAGAATATGTTTAACTAGTTGTAATAGCCTTTTAATTAGACATCTGCTTTCTGATTGTTTGTTTTGGATATTGTTTATACTTTGCATATCAAATTCAGAATTGAATTTTAAATCTGGAACTTTAATCTTAAAATGTCTAAACGGAAATTTGCAAATTCGAATATGGACAGCCCCTTTGAGACTTTAGTAGTTTATGACCATTTAAATTCGAGGCTTCAAAAAGATTTGGTATCTATCATACCGTATGACGCTATCTAGTCTCTTGTACGACAATCATTCATAGATTAATTGACATATTTTAAAGTTTTATCGAGTTGAAATAAAAAATCCGATCCATACATATATTGTCAGAAATTTTATTTTCACTTTTTGTTCCCATATATCTTTACCTTCTGGGACGAATATTTGTATGAATGATGAAAGCATTTGTTGTTACAGTATTTATGTTCTACAGAATTGATATTAAACATATTAGATGACAGTCAATCATTATCCATGTTATAATTGCCCAAAAAAGTTGTTTAACTTAGCTTATTCAACAAAAAGTTGTATTTAGTAGGAACAGAAAGTATAGTTTGAAAGTCCTCAAACTGATGAAAATAACTTGGCTGGTTTACCTTGACCAAGTTTGCAACAATCCCTTTTAGATACTATTTAACCAACAACTAAACGACATTTTGATTTACATAATAATTCACAGACATGACCCACGAGACTTCCAACATAATATTCAAATATTCTTTAGAGGTTCCCTGTGTTTAAATAAGAAGCATAGTGATAATAAATTTTCCTTTAGTATGAAAAGGGATTTTTTTTTGAGAAATGAGAAGTTTCTAAGTAAATAATTATATATTACCTCCAAAAGATCTTTTATGTACTTGATGGTTTCAAAGATGTGTTCAACTTGAATTGTTGGTGACAATAGCTCTCTCAGAGGAATTCGGCTCTGTCCAGACAATACAAATTCATTTTGAAAATCGTCCGTCCACCAGAAGTGTTCATCACATATGTAGTCAACCAATGGTTGGTCTGGTCGAATAACATTATTACTTGACGACAGACATCTATGTACAAACACCTTTAAAGCATGATCTAGCTTCTCGACAGTTTTAAAATTACCTTTTGACGATTTAATCAAACTTTCTCTTCCTTCTCTTGGAAGGTGTACACGATATTTATCTTCTAACGAGTTAGCTATATTGTCTCCGTTTAATTCTTCTAAATATTGATAAAAGGGAATTATATGTCCAATCTTGATGTCCTCGGGTAAAAGATTTTTCAATTCCAAGGAGGAAATTCCTGAAACATTCTCCCATTTAGTTAAATATTCGACTATAGGTTGGGCTGAATCTGCTCCTGTCTTTCGGATAAGCGATATGACCATTCCAGTTTGTGTCAACATGTTTGTTATTTGTGATGCATCTCTGTCTCTTTTATGTACTATTTCTTTTTTAATATCCTGCGTTAAATCATACTGTTGAACATTGCGTTGTATTTCCTTCAAAAGTTCTACCGTGTTTTGGAACAACTCATCAGAAAAAACTATTTGTGGGAGATCCTGTATTTTTATAAAACATTTTCCAAACAAAACTTCTGCCTTGATTTCTTGTTCTATCTTTTCGAAATCAAAATCTATTTTTTGATCTAAACCATATCTTGTATCACACTGCGAGAATGTAAGAAAACGGTCACTCCATTTAAAATTCAATAAATCTTTACTTCTGATTTCTAACAACGACACAGTTATGGGATTTTCCTTCATGGATTTCGTACTACATGCCTCAGATAGGAAATTATTTTGAATTTGAATTAATTTTTCTACTACTCTATAAAGTGGCGAGTTTTCTCCAATTATAGTGGCAGAGCTCATCTTTAACATCGTATGCATTATCTCTAGTGTTTCAGAATCTTTATCACATGACTGGAAACAGTGAAATGATCTTATGTCATTCCAATCGTTTTTAAATGCTTCAAACCTAGTTTTTAATACCCGTTTCTTTTTATCATCATTTTCCTCGGCGAAAAGTTTTGTTATTGTCATATATTTAAAATCAACCTTGCGAAACTTGTAACTTGCATAAATTACTAATGATAAATGCCATTTCAAAATTGACAGTATCTTTTGTGGTAGGCTTAATTTTTCCATGTGGTCAATCACCAAATGAAGCACGGGGAAATCGTTTTTCGCGGCAATGTGAAGATTTGCGAATAAACTTTCTTTAGTTGGTTTGGTGTAAACTCTGAATAAATGCGTAAAACTGTTAATGTTCACATTGTAATTGCATGGACCTACTTCAGTCACACAATTTTCCACTGACAAGGCACCTTCACTACATAGCAATGCACAGTGGCGTTTTGATGAATGGATATGGGCAAACCTATTTGGTAAAATCTCGTTGATAACAACTACATGTTTCTGCATCAAAATGTTAACTGATTCTTTTAAACTGGTGCCATCGGGTTCGGCTGTAAACAGGTGAAGAGAATTGAAAAGGATAGAATGCAGTAAAATACACATATCATCACAGTTCAACTGAAGCTCTTGTTGCAAATTCTGCCAGTACTGTCGAATCTGCTTGTCAATGTTGTCATTTTCGTAACCTATAAGGTTCAGTACGTTTAGAGATGATATTTTGTTTAATCCAAAAGATATAACTAAACTGCTGTGCAGAAAAATTTGCATGATGTTACAACAAACCTTTGACGTCCCTGGAAATGCTTCTGGTAACTCGTGTTCTTTTTCAAATTTTTCAAATGGGATAAGTGGTAAACCATTCACAGCCGAGGAAATAGGCATAAAAACAGTTTGATTCCAAAATGATTCGTAATGAGTTATTGTTCCAATTATGCAAGCCATATGAACAATTACTGATGAGATCTGTGGTTGTGGTGTACGAACCATCACGGATAAATTAAACAAGTTATGTTTAAATTCCTGTACACCAAGTAAGCCATTTATAATACTTTTGAGTTCCTCTTTAATATTTGCTTTATCTACCATGGCTGCTATTTGTTCAGCTATCTGCATCTCAGTGTCATCATTTTCTTTTAAACATTTTCTCATAAAGAAACATTGAGCCAGCACACCAACAAACTTCAGCATGTCAGTTCTTTCCGACAAAAGAATATGTAGCGTGTTGTTTTTACTGCCTACGCTCTTCATCTGGGTCAGAAACATGTCAAAAGACGCCGGATCAAGGTAAAGAAATAATGGATTGAAGACTGCTGATTTCTCTACAAAACTATTTGTCCACGTGCACACGACTTCCTTTAATACCGGAATATATGGTTCCATCAATTGACATTTTCTCGCAATATCTTGGCAACCAAATCTCTGATTTATGTGTTTCAAGAAGAAATGCAGTGTTTCGGTTGAAAACAATATATTGTAATCCGTATTGCTTGTAATGGTCATAATTGAGTTAATGTGCTGAGCAAGAGTTGGCATAGCAGAACAGTCGTATTTTGTTGAATCAAGTAAATCGACAAAAACCATCAACATTTTTTTCACAAAAGCCAATGCAACAACGAACTTAAGAGAGAAAATCTCAGTTTCTATAATTTGAAACGAACGAGACAAGCAATGGAGTATTTCGTCGGAACTACTCTGTACTGATCCCAAATGTTCAATTGTCAAATATTCTTCAAATGCGTAGCTTTCGAGAACATGTAATAATAAAATTGGAAGAGACATGTTTTTGATGTCAGTGACGTCCAGATCAACTAAATAGGAATCAAAGCACATGCCAACAATCTCATTTGTCGTACAGGATTTTTCATTTATCAACATGTTAAAGTATGCGTCTCTATTGTCGTTCAAATCTATTATTACTGCAAATTTCACAACCTGTCCAAAATATGACATTTCTGGGTCGAACATTTCGTTTTCTTTGATTTTAGTTAATGTAAAAGTTAACGGGTCAGTATTTTCCGGGGACGCTATCATACATCGCAGTATGTAAGAACAAAAAAGTTTCTGTAGTATGGCCTGTTTCACTGATTGTTCATTCTGTAGCTTCCTTAAACTACTGTGTAAACACTCACATACCGCTAATGCACCCAGTTTTCCATTGTTATCAATAATACATCGCCCTAATTCAGTAATACAAGATACGGGAATTGAAAAACCTTTTTTCACGAAATCTTCTGTTAGTTCCTGACAAAATTTTAAAGCCGTGAGTTCATCACATTCATCATTGATGATATGCGCAAGAGGTAAAATATTTCTGACAAGTGCTATCCATTCATCAACTACTAGTGTGTCAAATACTTGTTTTGTTGGTAGAAGTGACATGCATAGGACTTTCATAAAATGTTCCCTTGATAGAGAGGTGGTATCGCCATGCTCATTAGAATCTGTGACACAAACAGTCAAATCGTCATTTTCCTCTGATAAGCTGTAAATATTACTACCTGGATTATCTCCGTACGAACTTGGAAAAGAGTCATTCAATGCGACAGATGTTATCATATCTTCCATCAGACACTTGATTTCTACCATTTCGTCTGTTTGATCATCAAACATTAAAAAATCGCTTCCGTTTTCAATCATTTGAATGTTTGTGTTATTGACTTCCTTCATGCTTACATTTTTCTCCTTGCCAGCACTTTTAGTAGTCGTACCAGTGATTGTGTTTTGAAAACAGATCAGCTCCGCTACATTTAAAGTTGAAAGATCAACTGAGTACATGCATAGTTTAACTATATGGCATATTGCATTGATTATGTGCCCATATACCCACAAACCTGCATTAAGATATGCGACAAGAGTAAGAAAATCAACACTTTCTATTTTTTCAAAGTCGACAAAGTTTGATAAGGCCCATTTAAAAATATCAATTCTCTCCAATTCGTCCGTATCCTTTAGTATTTTAACGGAAAAGTAGTTACAAAAATCCCGAATAAAATCTTTATTCCTTTCCGGATAACGTAAATCTTCAGATATACTAACAGCTTCAAAACAGATAATATCAATACAATTATTTGTTGCATTGTCAAATAGATCCCTTGGGAGTTCATCATCTACGTCTATATCATTGTCTATTCGAAGTCGTCTGATAATATCTAAAAACTCGCCTTTTCGATCGTCTATCTGCAGCATTAATGACTGACTACATGGCATATAAAAGTTCAAAGGCTCACTGCTACAAAAGTAGCATTCTGGTCCAGATGGAAGAGGAATACCGTCAGTATTTACATAAATATCTGAAAGAACCACTCGTCTCCAAATGAGTCGTCTTGCAGGCGTGCAGGCGTCCTCTACAAATACTGGACTGAGTAAGTTTTGCTCTAAAAGTTTGAAGATGTAGGGTGCAAGTGGAAGTCTAATGATGTCTGAGATGCTATTTTCTAACGCACATACAAAGGGGCCTGCTTTTAGTAGTTCATGGGGATTTTCGGCAACATCTACGCACCAATAGGTTGAACAAAAGTCTTGTTGTTCATAACCACTCGTCCTCAGAATTTCAAGATCAAGTGACGTTTTCTTTATCCACATAAGAACATAGTCCTCTAGAGTAGAAACAACCTCATTGCATGATTTAATTTGCATCATTACATCTTCGAGGATTTTTACGGAGTTCTGTCCATTGGTAAATTTGATTCTTGAAAATGCCCAAAACAGCATTTTATTGATATAGCTATCTAAAGGTCTGCGTTCTGTAACAATTTGTAGTTTGTCAACATTCAGCAAATGTTCCAAAGGCGTTAAAGGTGTTTCAATACTATCTATAAAGAATAAACTCCAACCAGATAAAAAGTTCAATGGTATATCCGAAGTAACGTTTCGTTCTAGGTGTATAACAATACACACATGTTTTTGTTGTTGATGCATATCAACCATATGCGTTCGAATGTATTTCTCTATTATTCCTTTTACAAGTAGTAAATGACGATTGTCCGTTAAACATGAGCACTGTAACACAAGAATATTATTGTCAGACTGAAAAAACTCGTCAATTTTAAAAGAAAATTGTTTTTCTGATTTAAATATGGCCAACTTTTCTCTCTGAATTTTTTTATTCTGAATCAAAGGTTCAAAGAAAGAATTAATACCCGAAAATGTATAGATAACATATAAGTATTCACAAACACCATGCACTTCTTGCTCCTTTATATATGTTATTTGTAAAAGCTGTTCTTTGAGTGCATTTTTTATTTCAAAAACATCAGTAGGCAGTGTCTGTCTTGACAAGATGTTATCCTTACTTTCCAAGATATTGCATGACGACGCTTGTCCATTATAATCAGTATTCTCGGAGGGTATTTGAGTTGAAGCCGAGTTTTCATTTTCAATCCCATCTTTTGATATAGTTGAACTAATATTACTTTTTTCGGTCGTCTTTTCTTTTATTACGTCAAAAGATGCATTGCACATTCTGTCAAGGAAATGAAACAAGCCTGTATGAATTGGCAATTCCAGATATTTATTCAAAATTTGACCAAATTCGTTTGGACTTTTTGATCTGCAAAATACACTTTCCTTTGAGCGAATAACAACTTCTGGTGGTACCAACCATAGCAAAGTATCAAATGCATTCTTTTTGATATTTTCTAAAGAACTCGTGCAAGCCATGTTTTGCTGTAGCTTGATAATAAGTGATACAAGCAAATTTGTACTATATGATGGAATGACATCATTAGGGGAAAAGGCGTGATTTGGAATCTTACAAAAATTTACTATATCATTGTTTAGTTCATAAACTGCTTTTTTGAGGTTCTCGTTCTCAAGTAGATCAAAAAATTCAAAATGTTGTTTCTCAAACCGGTTCAAAAAAGGTGGATCAGAGTAATCTAATTTAGACTCCTCTACTAATACAACACATTTAAAATCATCATGCACGTGGCACATCGGATTACTGTAATGGCCTAATGCTACTCGACAGTGTTTCTTTTTTCCAACGACAGTATAGTTTTGATTAAGCATGTCATATAGACTACCGTAAATAGATTCTAGGTCTTTGAGTATTAAAACCATACCTTGTTCCATGCAAAGAATAATTCGGCTAAGAATTCTATAGTTGTAAGCATCTGTTAGATCATCTTGAAAGCTGCTACCAAAAATAATGTCAAATGGCAGTCCTAAATGCCTTAATTGACTTTCGAGAATACTTATAACAGCATCTCCATTGGTAATAAGCATTAAATGACGACAGGATTTGTCCTGTAAGTTTTCAATAATAAGCCTCGTGACAGGCATTTCTTGAGATTTAATACCCGGAATATTCTTCCTGAAAATTTCAAAAATTTTGTTTTTCTCTGTTGGAAGACCACCAAAATTTCGAAATATTCCTGTAAGAATGATTTCGCAAATTTCTTCATCATCTGCATTTTGGTATACTGCTTCCTTCCTGCCTAAGTATTTGATCAGGGAATAAAAATCCCGAAGCCCATGGAAGTTTGGAAACTTTTGGTCATGAGAACAATATTCATAATATGCCTTCGCTATTCCTTCCAGTAATTGAGTTGTTAGTGGTTGTAAATGCTTTCCAAAATTATCATCAAGACTGGACTCTAGATCAAATATAGCATTTACTGTGCAAGGCATCATGCTGTTACTGATAGATTTTCCAGTATAAATGAGTTCCTCGAGGTCCATGTCCGGTCGTGACAGATGAATCGCTCTATTCATCTTTGCTGCATCTAATGCCCAGTTGGAAATCCCAACAACTGCAACTTTAATCTGTTCATCATGTCGTTCTATAAGACCATGAAGCACTTTGAGAGGATTGAATTTTGAAATTTCTGCTAAACCTATTTCATCTAGTATAACAACTGACAAGACATCGCGTTCATCATTGTGCTTTTGATATTTCTCAGCTTTCTCAAACACTTTAATAATTCCATCAGAGGTTGATGACTCTGAACCTTGAAAAGACACACAAAACAGCTGTGGCATTTCTTGAAACAAGTGACCGGTTGAATCTTTTCCTCGGAGATTACTTCGTATCAACTGCATTGAAAGCGACTTACTGCAGCCTGGTTTTCCAACCAGAAAAATTGGTATTTTATTCAAAATACATACCAATAACATAAACACGTTTTCCTGTAAGGCTGCATTTAAAGCTGTACCTGCTGGAAGTTCTGTCATCATGTTTAATATGTCTTTTTGCTCTGTTAAAATAGAGTCCAGGATTTCTTCTTCTGTTATCGCATAGGACATTGTTGACCAAATGCATTTTTTTATCTCCTCACGATACTTTCTCCTAATGATACCATCTGAAAATCTACTGTGATAACACACGGTTAATCCTAAAATTACTGCTCTGATTTTTCGATCTGTGACTGATTGTATGGTCTGCTTCTTAAACAGAAAAGTGTTGTCGAACCACTCCACAAGCCTTCGACATCTATCAACATCTCTCAGACTTACACAGTAATCATTTGTTTCCAAATTTCGTACAAAATGTTGTGACATTACAAGCGTTTTGGTTAAAAGCATTGTAAGCTTTTTATCTCGAAAAGTAGAGTCCACCATTTTTGTGATATAAGACTTTTCGTCTTCTTCGCTTAGACTTCCATAATCCCAGACATAGTCAATCAAAGCCTCTGGTAGAGGATTTACTCTGTAAACTAATCTTGAAAGTTCATCGTTTCCGATTTTCCCCTGTAAACCAGTTGTCAGTATTTCCTCTTCCTGTCGAAGTCTGTATGGATTGCAAGCAGCCAGGATTGTAAGATTAGGAGCAATTTCTGTCCCTAGAAGCATTCGATGGCACAGTGAATCTGTTATCAATCCCAAATGATTACAAGTGTTTATCTCATCAAGAAACAACCAGAACTGATCATTTAAATGTTGAAAGGCAGTTTGATTTGTGTGACTGAATTTTCGAATTATATCAGATTCCTCAATGCCTGCATGAATAGTGAAAACTTCAAATTCAACATCACATACTTTTGCTAAGAAACGTATCAATGAAGTTTTCCCACATCCAGTTTCTCCCATAATCAATACAGGAACATTGCTATTGACTCTCAATGAAATTAGTACCATTTTTAGTAAGTTATCCGGTGTTAAAGCGTATTTCGTCATTGATAGTGCAAGATGTTGCCTATCTATAGATGCTATCGAATTTCTTGTAAGCTTTAGCAAAAGATGTTTTAATTCTTCTGTAGATTTTTCTTTAAAATCTGTCAATTTGCTTTTCACTTGACTTTCAAAAAGATTGCGTACGGACAGTGGCACATCTTTCACATTTCTATATAAAGCAGAAACAGTTTGAACATTTTGATGAAAAAGAACAACCAAATGATTACTGTCTTCCCACCGAATCATTCCAGAAACTCGATTAGCCAAGATATCTGCAATAGCTGTTGTTTTATATAAAACTGATGCTGTTTGCGCAGATCTACATGCATTCACAGATCTAGCGGCAAAATCCATTGAGACATTTTCCAATGCTTTCACAAGATTTGATTTTACAGTTGGCCGTTGACTTTTTTCCATCATTGCCTTCAGACTGGAAGTCCTGAAAAACAAACTGACTGACAACTTTTTGAGTTGATCTGCTAAAACATTGATAAAAATATTCATCAAGGTAAATGACATATCCCCTGACACTTCGAAATGACTTCCAAGAATTCTTGCACACTCTGTACTGGTCAGTGGCTTCAAGGCATTAGTTCCGGTAAAGTACAAGTCCTGAGTATCAATCAAACCATCATCCAAACCTTTCAAATAATGACAAACTACTTGAACTGGACTATTAATTTCAGAACTAACGCGTAAGTCGCTATAACAGTTCCACTGTAAATTTTCTCTAGAAAAACAGGTCACTGTTGGCAGGGAGTCCCTAAGTTCGTCGTGTATGGTGTTTGCAATTTCTATGGATATACTGGTGGACGCTAAAGCATATGCGGTTGATCCTGCAGAAACGTATCGTAAAACAATCATCTCAAACATGAACAAATCTAGTTCATTAGGATCTGAGATAACACCAATGTCAAGATGTAATACGTGGTAATTTTTCAACCGAATTTTGATCAATTCTTCTATAATGGACAGTCTATTAAACGGTCCACTGATGTGAATACAAACTGGTCGTTTTTTATCAGCAATCGCTTTTCTCTGAATGAACTCAGATTTTCCCAATCCAGGTACATCTGATGTAACAACTGTCACGTGCGACCATTGCTCAACTAAATATTGTTTCAATTTCAAATCAGATAAGGGAGACGGTCTTGACAGGATATCTGCAAATTGGTCCAAAAATGGATGATTTTCGTGACCTCGGCATAATAAACACAGCAAGAAATCGTATCCGTTTGAACATATTAACAGTCGTCTAATTTCATTATGTAGACAAAATTGTACTTCTGATGGTAGTAATTCAATATTCGCTATTGAATATAATGCTTTTACAGGAGTTCGGATTGACTGTTTTTGTATACACCTATTTAACAGAAGAGTTATTTCGTCGAATGTGGTATCTTTTCTACAGAAAAGAACTTGATTAGCTTGAGGAAACATTCCAGTTGTGTTTAAGTAAAGTGCTAGTAAGGTTCTAATAACAAGAGGACTTCCATCGGCTAAAGACGTTACATACGGTACTCCAGGTTGGACTTTTTCGGCGAGATTGGTGTGTTCGAGACATTCCAGGAATTTTGTTTGGTTTGTTTTCATCCCGCTGTACAGTTCTTCTAAAGTTTGACCAATGTTTTCAAGTGCGGCAATGTGATCACCACTTGAAACAATTTTAAAAGAATCATAAATGAGTGTGATCTTTTGTAAATCCTCGATGGATGGGTCGATAAATCTAAGGATCGCCATTACAATGACATCATTATTTTTGGCATTGTGAAGAAAAGAATACAACTCATATAGTTGATCTGCATAAAGAAAATTCAAGTAGTAAAACTTCTTACGACACGCATGAATCTCCGATATCCACTCTTCATATTGATGCTGTAATTGACACTTTAAATTATTCAAATTTTCACGTCGGCAGTTTTCTTCATACTTTGAAAATTCAAAATGACCAGCTCGTTTTAACTGCATGCAAATACCTGCAACTTCAAATGCTTCGTCTACTATATGGACAAATTTTTCTAGATCGTCTTTTCTGACACTTTTTGATTTACTTTTATCTCTATCATCTGCATTCATAAGTAGGAGAGCTCTACTTCTTAGATCACTTAAATCAGCGCCAGATTGTTTATATTTCTTTTTTACCTGTTTATATTCCGTGGTAACCTCACATGCTCTGGATGAAAGTAAAAAACGAAATACTCCTTTTTGCATAATATTTTCTATAACTTCAACAGTGCGTTCGCCTCTATTAGCAGCATTGCGATATAGAGCTTTCAACGAATGAAGGTTGTCACGACAAATATAGATTTTCTCTGGAATCTTGTTATTTCCAATATTTTCGACCTGCCTCTGTAGCAATTCGAAGAGTTTACCTATATTTTCCAAAAAGTTCCCCTTCAAAACTGGATTAAAAAAGCGCTTTATTTCTATTAAATCCGAAACAGTGGATTCCCTGACATATTGTTCAGAATGTTCTTCTACTGCGTCAATCAGATTGCGAAGGTCGTCGTCTGCAACTTCTCTTAGAAAATCAAGCAATGCAGAAGATGTTTTTAACGCCTGAAGAATATCTTGAAGATCAGAGTTTATAACGTTGTGTACAATATCAATCTGGTTTAAAATAGGTGTCATATCTTGTAAGGTAATACCAGATAGGTTTCCACTTAACAAACCTTCAAATTTTTGCACAGTATCGATATAAAGCGAGTCTTCCTTGTTATCAAATTTGAACGTTTTAGCTGCGACCTTTATAGTATCGACTGTCTGACCATAAGAAGGAAGATTTGAAAAACGAATGAGACTATTTCGCGTATGTGGTTTCAGTCTAAAAATACACGTTTTTTCTGCTTGTCTAATCTCTTTGTCCATATCCTTCACGCCTAAGAACATGGTTCTCAGTTCAGTAATACTGTGCTCCGTTTCATTTGCATAATTGTCCCATAGTTGTTTGTATCGTCCAAAACAGTCCTTAGCAATAATTTCGACAATTCTAAGGACTGATTGTAGACTAACATGTTTCCCGTCATGACGTTTTATAAAATGTTCATCAAAGAGAAAAGTCAATGATAATTCGTCGTCCGCGAAACCATCGTCAGACTCGTTTTCAATTTCCTCTAGTTCTTTCTCATTGTTTTCAAAATATTGTCTAATTAAATTCCCGAAGACACAGGTTGAAACTGCAGTTTCAATGTGTTTGCAACGTTCTGCAATGTCTTGAACTAACTGAATTTCAGGGGTTGTATTTGTCAATTCTTGTACAGTTATATTTCCCATCATCAAATTATCTTTTTGAGTGTTTGTATAGTCTATACATTTTTTCAGTAACAACTTCAGTTTACGAACTGGAATCCATTTCAATTTTCTAAATGTGTCATCAATTATTCCTAGATTAAACGTATAGTCATTTATTTTCTTCTCATATCTCTCTATTTTCCTTTCCAGCTGATGTTTATTTTCAGTCATACAATAAAGTAAGCTTTTTGATTCAAGTTCTTTGTTCAACAGAAGTAAAAATAGCTTGCTGTTTATGGTTTGTTTATTGATGGCAGATATTGTACCTTTTACTGCAGCTTCTACAGCCTTTACCTTACAGTGCTGCTTCATTTCATTTACTAGTGTTCCTTCAGCAGTCAAAATGAAAATCCAAAACTTGCTGCTGTTCATTACCTTCCCAATTATGGTCTCCATTGATTCGTCTGCAGCGACTTCCATTGTGTCTAAAGTTGTTTTTAGGATACTTAAAGTTGTCCTGAAAGAAGACGAAAAATTACTTGATATCATTGACACTTCAAATACTCTAATAGAACACCACTTGCAATGCATATCCATAATGGACACTTTTGACCATACCTATACATACCTATAAAAAGAGTACCAATTTTCGTTTGTATGAATCATACAGTCAAACAATCTAGTCTCAAAGTGGAAATAAAAGGAACATCTCATCGAAAACTGCAAGAAATTTGCAAACAATTAATTAATCAATCAATCAACAAATGGCAATCCGCTGATATATAATAAAAGAGTAAGACCACACTATTAAATTCAGAAGATGTGGTATGAAGGCAATAAAACAAATTTCCACTAGATACCACATGACGTAGAAGGGGAGCAACTATAGCTCACGGTACAAAACAAGACCGTTTCACAAGCAACTGCTCGGTTAGTTCAAACTCGTTTAAACCCCTTTACATCTAATACCGTAAGAGCTTTAATATGATTGAAACTGCAAACAAAGTTAAGAAATCCATGAGGAATTTAAAGAAAAATCACATCAATATCATACTTAATAATCATTTTACCTTTTCGATGTTAAAGCTATGATGAAAGTTACAACATGACAGATTGTCTAATATCTTGAATATGTATTAGATAGAAACATTCTGAAGGGAAAACATGTATTACTGTACTTTTCATTTTACTAAATGATCAGATGACAAAAACGATATTGTCGATTGATTACTGGTGATTTTTTTCTTAAATGATGATTTAACCATTTTTGCGTTTTGGGTTATTTTCGCAACAACTAAATCGATAAAGTGAACATAGCAAAACTGATCAACAAGATACGATCTACAAATAAGTTATCAAAAAAGAAATTTCTGATTTACTCTTTTTAGGATTTTGTTTTCTTCGAAATGACAATGTCTACCCATGTTTGCACTTCTGGATAATATCTTAAAACTATTATACGTGTAGATACATAGACATTGTACAAGAAAAAATGAACTGGTGTTCTTAAACCTTAATGTATATGTATACCATTGTATCAAATAAAATTGAGAATGGGAATGGGGAATGTGTCAGAGAGACAACAACCGACCAAAGAGTAGAAAACAGCAAAAGGCCACCAATAGGTCTTCAACACAGCGAGAACATCCAGCACCAAGAAGCGTGCTTCAGTTGGCCCTTTAATAAAAATGTGTACTAATTCAGTGATTATGGACGTCATACTAAACTCCGAAATATATAAATGAACTATAAGTATGTATGTTAATATGTATGGTTATATGTGTTCTTGCACTGATATTTATACTATTATTAAATTGATGAAAATGTTATTTGAACCATAGGTTTCATACTGCTTTACCATATTATGTTTATTTATTTCACTTCCTTGATTATTGTGCCACAAGTTAAAGACCTGTTAATGTATGAAGAAACAATAAATTATTAAAAAAAATATATTATCTAATGTAAACTTTGCTTTACAAAGTAAGAACATTTAATTAAGCTAATAACTTCTAACAAGAGGCTCCAAGGAGCCTGTGTCGCTCACCTGATATTTTTATTTACAATTGATTCATAAATCAATGCATCCTGTATACTTTTGCTTTAGTTGCAGAGATATAAGCCAAAAACTGCATTTGACCACTATGTTTTATTGTTAGCCATGTCTGCCATGTTGGTTGGCTGGCAGGATCATCGGACACATTTTAAAACTAGATACTTTATTGATTATTGTGGCCAAGTTTGGTTAAATTTGTCTCATTTGTTTCAGAGGCTTAGACTTTTATAAAAGATTACAAAAAAATACAAAAATTGTTAAAAAAATGACTTTAAAGGGCAACAACTCCTTATAGGGTCAATTGACAATTTTGGTCATTTGACTTATTTGTAGATCTTACTTTGCTGAACATTATTGCTGTTTACAGTTTATCTCTATCTATAATAATATTCAAGATAATAACCAAAAACTGAAAAAATTCCTTAAAATTACCAATTGAAGGGCAACAACCCAACAACGGGTTGTCTGATTCGTCTGAAAATTTAAGAACAGATAGATCCAAACCTGACTAACATTTTATAGATTGTTAAATTTGCTCTCAATGTCTGATTCGTCTGAAAATTTTAGGACAGATAGATCTTAACCTGATTAACATTTTATAGATTGTTAAATTTGCTCTAAATGCTTTAGTTTCAGTGAAATAGGCCAAAAACTGCATTTGACCACTATATTCTATTTTTAGCCATGTCGGCCATGTTGGTTGGCAGGCGGGGGTCATCGAACACAATTTTTTTTAATGATGATTGTGACTAAGTTTGGTAAAATTTGTCTCAATAGTGTCAGAGGAGAAGAATTTTGTAAGATAACAAAAATTTAAAAAAATTTGTTAAAAATTAACTATAAAGTACAATAACTCCTTAAGAGGTCAATTGACAATTTTGGGCATTTGCCTTATTTGTAGATCTTTTTTTGCTGAACATTATTGCTGTTTACAGTTTATCTCTATTTCTAATAATATTCAAGATAATAACCAAAAACGACAAAATGTCCTTAAAATTACCAATTCAGGGTCAGCAACCCAAAAACGGGTTGTCTGATTCATCTGAAAATTTCAGGGCAGATAGATCTTAACCTGATAAATATTTTTATTCCGTCAGATTTGCTCTACATGCTTTAGTTTTAGAGATATAAGCCAAAAACTGCATTTTGCCCCTGTTCTATTTTTAGCAATGTCAGCCATGTTGGTTGGCAGGCGGGGTCATCGGACACATTTTAAACTAGATACTGTGGATTCATTTATTTTCGTGGGTACCAATTTTCGTGGATTAGGGAAAAATTGCATGTTCGTGGATATTTAATTTCGTGGTTTTACCGAAAGTCTGCGTACAAGCCTATACAAAATATGTCATTCGTTGAACATTTAATTTCGTGGTTCACTTGTACCCACGAAATCCACGAAAATTGGTATCCAACGAATAATAATGAATCCACAGTACCCTAGTGATGATTGTGGCCAAGTTTGGTTAGATGTGGCCGAGTAGTTTTAGAGGAGAACATTTTTGTAAAAGTAAACGGACGACGACGACGACGGACTACAGACGAGGACAGACGGCGGACGCCAAGTGATGAGAAAAGCTCACTTGGCCTTTCGTTGTTAGGGTGCTGACTTATTAACGGATATCCTTCATCTCTTCATATTCACTTTAAAATGTATGCATATTTGGGATGCTGTCTCAAAAGGGTAGACCAACCAGTATTATGCATGCTATCACAATTATATACTAGTATTCGAAATTTTCAGCAGATTTCTGAAGTACAGACGATGTTTTGCACAGATATCGATGTTTTGCACAGATATTGATGTTTTGAACAGATATCATTTCAATGACGATGAAAGCTTGTACAATAATTCTTACCTTGAATTTATTAAAAGTCTTGATGATCCGAATCCACAAATGTCTTGAATAATATCATTTGCACCTCTCCCTATATAGCCGTCTCGCAAAGTTCTGTTTATATGCTTAGTGTATGTGTCTGATAAACCGGTTGAAGCCTCTATTTCTGGAATGGCATGAATCATTGCTTTGAATTTGCATTTTTGCATCACTTTCAAAATAATTTCTTCCAAATTTCTTTGGATGCTTTCATGCTGGTAAACGTAGTCCGTACACGTAATCCTTCCGTAATTGAAGTAATATTTAAAAATCTGGTCCTTCTCATTAATTCCGGATCTAGTTTTGAAGTCCTGCAGAGTATTTGCAAACCATATTGAAATTATTTGAAACATTTTGTCCTCTTCTAAATTCGAATATTTTCTGTATTTCAATAAATCCAAAAACAACTGTTGCAGATCGTGATTTTTGCTTTCGGACAACAGTTTAAGAAGTTTAAGTTGCTGCGTGGAATTTTCAAAAAGATCTTCTCCTTTTAAAGCATCCAGTAAGAGAGTAACACTTTTAAAGGATATCATCTTTTCTTCAATGCTTAATGCTGTGAGAATCCCTTTTTCGGCAGAGTCAACTAATTTCTTTGAATTCTCTACACATAAATTGCAAACACGTTGCCATATATCTAAAACGGCTTCCAGCGCCCCTTTACTACCTAGTGCTATCAATTCCTTAATGCCCTTAAAGGAAAGTGATTCTTCAATTACACTATAAACATGCCCATATAAGTCATACTGTTTCATCTCTTCAAAAAATTCAACGTGGGGTATCAGAGGCAAATTACGGAATATTCGTTCAACAAGGGGAATTGTACTATTGTCGGCTAAAGCAAAGTTATACAGTCGGTCTAATAAATCTGTACAGTCAAGATGCTTTGAATGTTTATATAAATAAAGTACTCTTTTTCTGTCATCCAGAGAATTGTCTATAAGCTCAATGAAAAATTCATTTCCAAACAGGTCGTAAGACAAGTCCATTAAGAGCAACAGAGAAGCCTCATCTTTGTAAACAAGTTTGCATAAATGTTGCAGCACACGAGCAACCTTTCTAGCTGAGTTTGGCGTTATGTCATTCTTTGAAATTCTTGAACAAGATTTTAATATTGTTTGTGCTTTCTTTACGTCAACGACGACCCTATAATCTCTTGATAAAACAGAAAG